CCCCCCCAGCTCCCTCACGGGTCTACTCTGGCTAACGCTCTCCTCGCGGCGCGGCGAGACGGCCCGGAGCGCTCACCCAAGCGAATGCAAAGCCCCGGCGACTGCAAACGCGCACGGGATAAATAAACGCTCCCGGGTCACCCCCGGTCAGAGCACTAATCCGGGCTCTTCCTGCCTCTGGCCCGCCGAGGGCGCCCACGGCGCGCTGGGAGCTGACTGCCGCGGGGGGGGGCGGCCGGAGGGGGGGCGCGGCGGCGTTGGGGGGCGCCCAGCGGGGGGGGTCGCGGCGGCGGCGGAGCGCGGCCTGAGGGGGGGCGGCGCGCGGAGCCGCCGGAAGCCGCGCCGGGAGGAGGGTCCGGGGCGGGCGCCGCGGGGCCGCTGACATCAGCCGCGCTCCTCCCCTCGCCTCCCAACACCCTCCGCTCGCGGCCGGGCCCTCCCCCTCCCACCACGTGTCCTGCCCGCTCCCTCCCGCGGGGCCGCGCGCACGGGAAGCCGGGGAGGCGGCGGGGATGGCGCTGTGACAGCGGGGCCGCAGCCCTCGGCGTACCTCCCGCGGCCCCGGCCCGCGCCCCGGCCGCCCGGTGAGTGCGCGCGGGCGGCGGGCCGGAGGCCCGGGGCGGCGCGGCCCTTCCCGCGGCCCCGGGGCTGCTCGGCGGCGGCAGGGGCGGGGGCGCGAGGCTGCGGCTGCGGCGGCCGCCGTCGCCTTTGTTGCCGGCCCGCCGGGTGGCAGGCGGCGCCGGCTCCGGCCGCCCGGCAGGTGCGCCGGGGACGGGGGGCGGGGGGCCCGGCGGGGAGGCGGGCCGGGGGCGGCGGGGGCGCTCCCGGCGCCGAGCCGCGGAGAAAGGGAAACGGGACAAGATGGCTGGAGATACCGAGCGCGCCCGGGGGCGCGGCGGCCGCGGGCGGGGCGCGGGGCCGCGGGCGGGTGGGCGGCGGCGGCCAGGGCTGCGGGCACCCAGCCGCGGGGCACCGTTGCTGCGGGGCGGGGCCGCCGCCCACCCGCCTTCTGCCCGGGAGCGCGTGGGAGAGGCGGCGGTCAAGTTTGGGCCCCAGCCCCGGGGACCTGAAGCCTTCTCCGCCCGCCCCGACCCAGCCTTGCCGCCACCGCGCGTCCCTTTTGCAGACGTCCAAGCGGCACGCTGTGAACTCGGGAGGGGTCTCCTCTGGAGGCCCCGGGAGGATGCGGCCCACAAGATGCACACTCACTCCACACCTAGGACTTGCCCGCGCCCCTAGAGGGCAGGAGCGCGGCCCTTTGTACTGGCCTACAGCTGGACCGAAGAGAACATTCCTTTCGCCACGGAGGCTTTTCCCGGTGGGGGTGGGGGTGGGGGCCCGGGCCCCAACAGATTTCTGCACCTTCGTGGGCATCCAGGCACGCACCTCACTGTCATTGAATCTCGGGTTCGGAAAAATCCCTTAAGGCAGAATGACTGTTTTCCGAACCAGCTCATGGACAAGATCTTTGACTTGGGAAAACCCAGGTGATGGGTATTCTGGGCCAACCAACGGCCAGGTGCTTAACTGGCCTGCAGGGAGAACCCAGTTGAGCAGGTGTCCTGTCTGAGTTCAGACACCTTCACTGGTAAGAAGCTAACCCCCCTCTCCTGCCGCTCATTTCATGTTCAAGGGACACTGGCTGTGAGAAAGTTCTGCCTTTCAAAGCACACTTTAAAACCTCTCCCAGGATGTTTACCCGCCAGCCAGTTCTGCCCCTGGGTCTGTCCAGAACCAGTCTGGTCTCTTCCACAGGTAGCTTTTTAAAGATGTGAAGGCAGTCAGGTATACTCTGCCTGCAGCCCTTCTTAGCATAATTAATGTGTCACCTCCCCGCTTCCTGCTACCTTTCCTAAAGCCCTTCCTCCCCAGGCCTGACCCTTCCTTCCCTTATTCCAGCCCCAACAGCGCTTGGGGAGAAGAGGTTTGCGTAGGCAGAGCCCCCCCCTCCCCCCCCCCATCCCAGGCTTTGAACAGTTCACACTAGTGCCTGACTTTTCTCAACTGAATCTTGCTTGCAGAGATGGATTCCACAGCCTACACTCTGAATTTGACCCTAAAAGAAGAAGAAGAGGAAGAAGAGATTCAGAGTCGGGAACCCGAGGATGGCCCCACAGATATGCAGAAAGTCCGGATCTGCTCAGAGGGTGGCTGGGTAAGTGAGAAGATGGGTCCACACAGCTGTGAGGAGAGGAGCCGGCCTGGGAGCCAGTCTCCTCCTCAGGCAAGCACGGGAAGTAAAAATAGCCTAGCCCAGCCCGGTATGTTTGCATTCCTGAGAAAACAGTCCTGTGGCTTTAAAAGGCACTGTGAAGAATGGCGCTGGTTGTGGGAACAGTCTCTTCAGTCGTGCGGCTTATCATCGGTCGGACTGGAAATCTGAGAGGCAGAGGGAGAGGTTGTCTCCCACCTGGACCCCCGAATCCCCTGTTTTGCTTAGTGCCAGGCATGTCGCAGACACCAACTAAACGTTTGCTGACCCGTGTTAAAGAAAAACGAATTCTGACGCTCGTGAAGGTGGTGAGGAAGATTGCTCAGGACTGGAGTTTGGGGTCAGGGCCGATGCAGTAGGGAGACACACGGGGCTTTCCAGCCGAGGATCCGGCGTGGGTGAAAAGTTACTGAGAGGCCATCAGGCACAGGGGGAGTCTTCCTAGGCTGACTTAACAAGATTCTTGCTAAAGGCAGACTAGGGTGATCAGATGTCAAAGGTGCGGGAACCTTCCTCCTCTAACTTCGCAGGATTCTTGGTGAATCCGGGCCACAGGCTGGGGACGCGGGGGGAGCCCCCACGCAGGCCTGGCAGGGAAGAGGGCCCAGAGGAGCCTCACTGACTTTTGGGAAGGAGAGGGGCTTTTGCACCCGCTGCTGGCTGAAGAGAACCGTTTGACATAAGACGTGGGGCACTGCGCCCACAGGCGGAGAGCTTCAGGAGGTGAGGCCGTGTGGTTCCGTGTGAACGCCTCTCCTCGGAGGGCACACGCCGGGGAGCTGCATGGCCAGGCGGCCCGGATTCAGGGAAGGGGTGGTGGGCGGCAGAGGACGTGGGACACATCCGGACAGAAGACTATGATAGAAGTAGATGGAATTTATAAAAATACAAGAGCAGTGTGGTCCACGCTCAGCCATGCCAGTCGCTGGGGCCGCTAGGTTTTGCTCGTGGGCCAGAGCGCCATACACGCCTCCCCCAGAAAATTGAGCAGACTTCACGCTTGTGCAAGGGGCGCTTCCAGACACCCCGGGGGTGGGTGAGGGGGGTGGGGAGCGATGTAAGCGCAACAGGCGTTTATTCTTATAATCGTGTGTAATTATCCCCAGTACACACTCGACATCATGACGTTTAGGCACAAATGGTAAAAACTGGAAATCTGCAACAAGTTGTGTTCCTGTTCCCTGGTCGGTTCTGTGTCTGGACGGTATAGGAATCCGTTATATCCTTCGCTTCCAGTAGGAGGTTCGTCGTCCTAGGATCCCGGGCGCCCCACCGTCCAGTCCAGCCCCCCTCCCCTACCAAAGGCCTGGGGAGCAGAGAGGTTATTACTTTGTCCCAAGGTTACATGCGTCCGCCGACATTTGTTCTTAAATGAGTATTTGTCTCTTAAGCTGGACCCTTAACAGCAGTGCGTTTTATTGTATGTATGCCGCACCCGCGAGACACGCAGGCCACCAGGCTCCAGGTCCAGGTCCGGCGCTGTGGGTGGCCCTGCGGCTTTCCTTTCGTATCCCCCGCCCACCCCCACCGCCTGTCTAGTTCTGATCCTCGGGCTGGGGAGACCCTCGAGGACAGGGGTGAGTCCCATCCGGCCTGGAGCAAGACCTCAAGGCGGTAGAAACCCGGGCTTGAAGGCTAAGTCGGCCCACCCGGAACATCCGGATAGCATGGAGAACCTTGGAAGAAACGGGTGCGGTGAAGGTGGCTGTGGGTCGGGAACAGCCAGAAGGGAGTGAGGCGGAGACCCCGCTTGGCTGGGAAAGGAGGAGGCAGCTGGGGGAGAGGGCTTTTGTCTGCCCTCTGTCCGGGATCGCTGAGCACAGTGCTGGTGGTCTCGAGACCGGACGCCTGGCCTGGGGTTGCCAGGCTTGCGGGGCAGGTGGGGGGCTGACCACTATCCCTAGCACGGTGTTCGGGGCAGTCAGCTCAAGGCAGGGTCTCGTTCGGCTGGAGAACTCAAGAGGCTTTTCTGCCGAAGGCGAGCACGGACCCGATCTTGAGCAGTGGGAATGTCCCCATCCCGTCCTGGGGACCTTTGGCAATATCTGGAGACATTTTGGGTGGGGGTTGGGGAGTGGGAGGTCCTACCAGGCATCTCCTGGCGAGAGGCCAGGGCCGCTGGAAACATCTGCAACGCGCAGGACAACCCTCATGACAAAGAATTCTGTGGCCCAAAATGTCAGTAGTGCTGGTGTTGAAACACCTTGTCCTGGGGCATGAAGCCAGGGGAAGAAGAGAAATGAATTCTGTTCCTTAAATATGTCGTTGGGTTGCAGAGAATCGTGGTAGGGTGATCGATCAAAGCCTTTCCAACGGAAGAACTCTGCCCTCCGTTAGGATAATGGAGTCCATAGGAGGATTGGGTAGAGAAAGGGAAGAATGCACCCGAACTGAGTCTTTTTCCTGAGTGGCCCTGGCCCGGGGAGGAGACCGGCTTGCACCGCGGACACGGGGAAAGCGGGAGCCGAAGCCCCGAGAGGAAAGCTCGCGTGCAGAGTCGGAGGTGGAGAAGGTGAGAGGCAGGGCAGGCCAGGCGCCGCCCTCTCCCCGGGAGCTGTGCGGGACAAGTCCTTGCCCAGCTCTCCCGCGAGGCCGGGGCTCGCTAAGTCTGCGTGCTAAGCGGCCTGCTGGAAAAGTCTGGGCTTTGGGGTCAGGCTTTCTAACTCTGTGACTGTGGGCAAGTTACTTAGCAGCTGCTTCCTCACCCATGAAAGTGGGGTAGTGATTCCCATTTCTTTATATTGCTTAAAGGATTCAATAAGATAAGTATTTATAAACATGTAAGAGGGGAGCGCCTGGGGGGCTCAGTCGGTTGAGTGTCTGACCTCGGCTCAGGGCATGGTCTCCCGATTCACGAGTTCGAGCCCAGCGTCGGGCTCTGTGCTGACAGCTCAGAGCCTGGAGCCTGCTTGGGATTCTGTGTCTCCCTCTCTCTCTGCTCCTCCTCTGCTCACCCTCTTGTCTCTGTCTCTCAAAGATAAACATTAAAAAAAAAAAAAAAAAACACAGACAAACATGTAAGAGGGAGTGCCCTGCACAGCCTGGCATACAGCAGGTGCTCTCTCGTGCACTGGTAACAGCCCTCCCTCTGCTCGGAGACCTGCACTGGGTGGTTATGCAGCTTCGTCAGCGTGAGGCTGTGCGGGGTGTGGGTACTTCCTGACAGTCTCCCGTGGAGACGGGCTCTGGAATGCCAGCTTGCGGGCAGAGCAGGGCAGTACCTACAGGCCGAAGGAAGAACACCTATGGGACGCGTCCTGCGTCTTCTGAGGGAAGGGGGAGGGCAGGGATTGAGGGTCCCCGCCTCTGAGGCCAAGGTGGGGTGTTTGGGATTGAACACAGGCTGCCTGGCTCCGGGGTTTTGCCCAGGGCAGGCCCTGTTTACCTTGTGCTGTGCTCAGCCAGAGAAAAAGCCTCTGTGGAGAGAGGGGAGGCCGGAGGAGGCCGGGCCGAAGGCTTGCTCAGTCCTCACAGAGGGTTGCTGTGAGGAGAATTTCTAAGCCGCTGGACCGGGTGTCCTGGAGCATAATGTGGGCTTGTTTCGAGATCCTCTGTGGCTCCGTCATGAATGTGAGGATGTGAATGTGGCGCCAGTTGGCCTCCTTAGAGCTTGGGGCTCCTGACGTTTTTACCAGGCCTAGCACGGTTTTCTTCTGTGAGTGTCGGGGGCCCCTCTGAAAAGACAGGCAGAGCCAGTCCTGTGTCCCGTTTTATCAGCAAAGGGAAGGGGACTATAAATAGGTATGGCCTGGATCTGGAATTTCCTAGGGAGAGAAAAGGCCAAAAGGAGAGTTGTTCAGAAGGCTGGGAAGTGAGAAGGGGTGGGGTGGAAAATTCCTGGCTGACCGGCTTCCCAGATGATGAAGTCTGAGGGGAACCTAGGATTCACCCACGTTTACCTCCTGGTGTTTCACCCTCACCCCGAAGAGGAGGCTTGGTTTTCTAAGAGATTTTAATGATTATGTGAACCTATTCTAAGAGCAACCAGAGAAAGGAGATTTGGATATTGTTTGCTTAACTCTTTTATTCAAACGCACGTTTTGGGGGCACCTGGGGGGCTCAGTCGGTTAAGCTCTTGGTTCCGGCTCAGGTCGTGAACTTGTGGTTTGTGAGTTCGAGCCCCACATGGGACTCTGCGCTGGTGGCGAGGAGCCTGCTTGGGATTCTCTCCCTCTCTTTCTCTCTCTCAGTCTCTCCCTCTCTCTCCCCCCCTTGGCCCCTCCCCTGCTCACACTGTTTCTCTCTCTCTCTCTCAAAATAAATAAATAAACTTAAAAAAATACGTTCTAAGTGATTACTAGCCACAGGAGTGTCCTAAGCTTCGGGAGGTGGAATAAATAGCATAGGTGTTGCCCTCCGTGAGCTTGGATCCTAGTGTAAGGAGCAGACACTAAACCAAGAGAATACTGCAGTGTGATGCGCGCCCCCAGGGTGTGGAGCCCGGGTCCCAGCGGGTCAGGGCTGTCTTGGAAGATGGGTGGGTGGGTGTCAGCCAGGCCGCGTCGGGCAGGACCTCGGAGGCAGTGGGAGAGCCACGTGGGGGGCCCGAAAGGTCAGGGACCGGTGCGCCGGGCGGCAGCAAGCCCGGAGTACAGCGAGGGGCGTGGGGGGGGCGCGCAGGGCTTTGCTCTTGGAGGAGCAGGAGCCCTGACCTCAGCGTGGAGCTGCGTCCCGGTCTCGGCCCTGCCCTGTGCTGGCTGCGTGGCTTTGAGTAGCAACCAGGCCTCTCCGAGCCCGGGCCCTCCTGGAGTAAATGGGGTTGCTGGGGAGCCGCAGGGCCTCCCCCGGCAGTGCTCCCCGCGCGGGGCGCTGGGGGTGGGAGGGAGGGCGCGGGCAGCCCTGGCGACGGAGAAAGGCCAGTGGGTGCGAGTGACCGCCGTCCGCGCCCCGGAAGGAGCCACGGACCGAGCGGGCGCCAGTTTCTGAAGCGGACAGGACAGCACGGCGCGGGCTTCGGCCTTGGATGGCTCTGGAGGCGGGGACCCCGGGGCGGCGATTCGTACCCCTGAACGCGGCCGGCTTTGCAGTAGGACTTTTCGTGACGGAGACACAAGGGGGGGGGCGGAAGAGCGGGGAGCCTGGCCCCTCCCGCGGGGCGGGGGCGCGGGGTCCGTGTGGGGAGGGAAGGGGAGATGCAGCTGGTGTGCTCCGCTGCCGCCTCACGGAAACTTTGGCCCTGAGGGCCCCCCCCCCCCCCCCGCGCACCGGAAAGGGTGGGAGGGGCCCGGCGGCTCCCCCCGGGGGTTTGGGTTCTGAGTCAGACCTGCGGCCGGTACCCCCGCAGGTGGGGAGCGCCCAGGAGCCGCCTGCGCCCCGGGCCAGGGATCTGTGACTGAGGGGGCCAGGGTGGTGGCTGGGCGGGGCGTCCGGGGGTGGGGGGACCGCCTCAGGGCGCTCACCTGGGAGCCCCGGCTCCTGAGCCTGGAGTGGGTGGGGGCCCAGCGGCCCGCATCCCGATGTGGTGCCTGGTGAGCGCGGCGGGGGGCTTCTCTGGGGGCTTCTCCTGGAGTGCGGCCCCTCCGCGTCCCCGCCCCCGTGACCGGGGGGGGGGGGGGGGGGGTGTCAGCCCGCCCGGCAGCCTGAGAAGGCCTGTTCCCTGCCAGGTGCCCGCCCTGTTCGATGAGGTGGCCATCTACTTTTCCGACGACGAGTGGGACGTTTTGACGGAGCAGCAGAAAGCGCTGTACCGGGAGGTCATGAGGATGAACTACGAAACCGTCCTGTCGCTGGGTAAGGCTTGTTTCCCTCAGTCTCCTGCAGCCGTGGGCCCAGAGCTCTGTCCGCTCTCTTCCCTGGCGCACCCAGCACCCCCTTCTCCCGAACTCGGCCTCTGGCCCCTCGATGCCTGTGCCCGTGGCGTTTCCTGTTTTGGATCCAGGCAGGATATACACACTGTGTCCTGCGCCAACCTGGGCCGGCGCTCAGCCACCCTCACCCGACCCAGATGTTCACATCAGGAAAAATCGAAATAAAAAATAAATTACAGCCCTGACCTAAGAAAAGTCGCCATAGATCTGGGCCCGGGTCTCACGGAGGGAAGGCAGGCCTCTCTGTTACCCCGTCAGCCTCAGCCGCTTGGGAACTTACCCCCAGGGAATCCTTGCCCCCCCTCCTGGCATTGACAATCTGTATAATTAGGATGTAGCCAGCTGGAGGGGTTTCCTCCTTTCTCATCTAGGTACCAGAATGTTCACCAGGTCAGGGACCTGCCCAGTGAAGTTCTTTTCACTATTGCTCGTACCAGCCCTCATTAGCAGAGATCCAGAAATGCCCTTGGACAGACTTCTTTCCCGTCATGTTTTCTTTTTAATTACCCCTGAGCCCGTTCCCCCCTGGCCTTTGTAAACCTCCACGTGGAGAGTGTGCGCGAGGGTGGGGGGAAGGTATTCCTTACGTATTACAAAGTACTTATTTTGCTCCAAGGCAGCAACACACAGCTCTTATGTGTTTTATCTCCCATGGACAGAATTCCCATTCCCTAAGCCCGACATGATCACTCGGCTGGAAGGTGACGAGGAGTCTCAGAATTCAGACGAATGGCAGCTCCAAGGAGGAAGCTTTGCAGGTACTACAGTGAAATCACTCAGCATGCGTCCGGGGAGAGCGTTGTGAACCCGGATCTTAAGTTTCCTTGTACGTTGTGTGGGGCACCTAAGAGCTAAGGCAGGTTTGTGAGGCAGAAAGATTATGGGCTTTGGATTTTCAATATCTTTCTAGGGCTGTGTGACTTGAGGCCACTTCATTCACCTCTCTGAGCCTCCATTTCTTTCCCTGTGAACCGTGGGTAATAAGTCTCAATGTGCAACCTTGTATGCTCAGGAAGTAGAGCAGGCTCGTGGGGCGTTTGGTCCTGTGCACGTGCAGGTGAAGGAGGCCGCCTCAGCGTGCCACGGACCCTCGAAAACTGAGGAGAGTAATGGGACACAGCATGCAGCCAGGGCGACGTACCCTGGGTTCTCGCCTGTTTCATCTCAGATAGAAGAAGCAAGAGCAGCTGTAGTACGTGTGTGAGCAAACGTGTCTGGGAAGCGCATGGTCCTTGATTCACAGCACAGTTAGGATACCGGCTGGATCAATCCAGCTTCTAAGCAGCCAGTGATTTTATTTGCCTTCCCTCTGTAGGTGAGGGTTTAAAATGCCATAGTTCGTTGATTCTCAGACATGTTTTCCCCCCACTGCGGTAACATCTCTGAAACTGAGAAGAACTCTTAAAATGGACAGCATTTTTTTTTCTTTTTCAGTGGTGTATCTTGCAACCGATGGCCCCACAGTCTAGATGCGATCACGATAATTTCCCAAGTCCTACCCAGTTTCTGTGACCACATTCTAAGTACAGAAGTGCTGATTTGGTCTGAGGGAACTAGTGCTCTGCCTTATAAGTGTAACTTTACTAAGTATGGTGTTGCCCTAGCTCTTCTCGGCAGAGGGGACGTGAGTCAGGCCGTGATGCCTCTGAATTCTGTGCTACCGTATTGTAGCATGGCTTCTGTTTGGCTTTTCATCTACATAAAAGCGATTTTGACCCAAACGTGGCCCCGCAAAATGCCCATGGGGGCCAGGTTTGGCACCTGTGTTCTGGTCCCAGCTCTGGCACTGGGTCGCTCAGCCCCCTTGATGTATTACTTCATTTCTGTGGCTGCACCTGCAAAGGAGTGATGGTGCACAGGTGCTGTCAGGTACACCCAGGTACTGTGGAGACACCTGTGCGGCGACCACAGGAATTGGCACACGGGTAAGGACTGGGGAGGCGTTTTCTGTTGTTTAAGTTACTCCTTCGGGTGACCCTCAGATTACGACAGTCTTTAGCGTTTTGACCCAGAAAATCAGAATAGGCCAGACCGCCTTTTACTTACTGTCATTATGTCTGCTCGTCCCTGTTTGTGTCCCAGAAAACGAGGAGTTGGACGTCAAGCCCCCGGATTGGGTGGGGCCGATGAACGCCGCCCCCCACTTTCCTCAGCCTCAGCACCTGGACGGCTTTGGCCTCCGCCTGCCCCGGGAGCTCACGGAGCTGCCCGAGTGGAGTGAGGGGTACCCCTTCTACATGGCCATGGGCTTCCCGGGGTATGACCTCTCCGCGGACGATCTCGCCGGCAAGTTCCAGTTCAGCAGGGGCATGCGGCGCAGTTACGACGCGGGGTTCAAGTTAATGGTGGTGGAGTATGCCGAGAGCACCAACAACTGCCAGGCCGCCAAGCAGTTCGGGGTGCTGGAGAAGAACGTTCGAGACTGGCGCAAGGTGAAGCCGCAGCTCCAGAACGCCCACGCCATGCGGCGGGCGTTCCGCGGCCCCAAGAACGGGCGCTTCGCCCTGGTGGACCAGCGCGTGGCCGAGTACGTCAGGTACATGCAGGCCAAGGGGGACCCGATCACCAGGGAGGCCATGCAGCTGAAAGCTCTGGAGATCGCCCAGGAAATGAACATTCCGGAGAAAGGGTTCAAGGCCAGCTTGGGCTGGTGTCGGAGGATGATGCGAAGGTATGACCTGTCCCTGCGGCACAAGGTGCCGCTGCCCCAGCAGCTGCCCGAGGACCTGACGGAGAAGCTGGGCACGTACCAGCGGAGTGTGCTGGCGCTGCGCAGGGCGCACGGCTACCAGGTGGCCCAGATGGGGAACGCCGATGAGACGCCCATCTGCCTAGAGGTGCCCTCGCGGGTGACGGTGGACAACCAGGGCGAGAAGCCCGTCTTGGTGAAGACGCCCGGCAGGGAGAAACTGAAAATCACCGCCATGCTGGGCGTCTTGGCGGACGGGAGGAAGCTGCCGCCCTACATCATCCTGAGGGGCACGTACATCCCCCCCGGCAAGTTCCCCAGCGGGATGGAGATCCGGTGCCACCGCTATGGCTGGATGACGGAGGACCTGATGCAGGACTGGCTGGAGGTGGTGTGGCGGCGGCGGACGGGCGCGGCGCCCAAGCAGCGGGGCATGCTGATCCTGAACGGCTTCCGCGGCCACGCCACCGACTCGGTGAAGAGCTCCATGGAGAGCATGAACACCGACATGGTCATCATCCCCGGGGGCCTGACCTCGCAGCTGCAGGTGCTGGACGTGGTGGTATACAAGCCGCTGAACGACAGCGTCCGGGCCCAGTACTCCAACTGGCTGCTGGCCGGGAACCTGGCGCTCAGCCCCACCGGCAACGCCAAGAAGCCGCCCCTGGGCCTCTTCCTGGAGTGGGTCATGGTCGCGTGGAACAGCATCTCCAGTGAATCCATCATCCAGGGGTTCAAGAGGTGCCACATCTCCAGCAGCCTGGAGGACGAAGACGACGTCCTGTGGGAGATCGAGAGCGAGCTGCCGGGGGGAGGGGAGGCACCCAAGGAATGCGACCCCGAGAGCGCGCCGGAGGGCAACTGACAGCCGGGGACACCAGGTAAGCGCCCCGCGCCTTCCCGGCCAGACCTGTTCGTGTTCCCCCGGCCCTTCCCTCCCGCCGCTGCTCTCCGCTCCCGGGCACCCTGAGGCCGGGGGTACGTGCGGCGGGTAACGGGCCGCCAGCTTCTCCTCGTCCGACTGCTGTTGCTTGGCTTGTTTTGTGGGTGATTCGCTCCCGGCCCCGGACCCCCTCACGAGGAGAGCGGTCGCGCCCAAGTGATCTGGGCCCAGAGGAGCATCGCCTGACGTGGCTCAGTTAGCAGACCGTCTGCTCTGAAACGCCAGCTTGTTTCGTTCCCTTGGGAGTCGCGGGGAAGAGCAGGGCCGGGGCGCGTGTCTGCCGCTCGGAGCGGCGGTGCTGTCTGGGGCCGCGGCCAGAGGTGCAGGGGGAGCCCCGGGCTGCGGCCTCCGCTCTCCGTCCCCGCGTGGCCTGCGGGGGCCCACAGGGACCTAGAAACAATAGCGTCGGTTCGCTTTTCCCTAGGATTTCAAAAGAGTTTTAAGACATGGTCTTACTCTCATAGTGCCCTTCTCGGGGGTGGCGTGAGCAACGGCGGTGACCTCACGCGGCCCACTGCCGTCCGCAGGGTAGATTTGCAACTGGAATCTTTGCGCCAGAAAAGGAGAAGACCGTGGGCGTGTCTAACACCTCCGTGCATGCAGCCTGAGGACTGAGGGCAGTAGGTCTGGAATGTTCAGAGTCGCCTACGGAAGGGCAGCTCCAAGAGGAAGTGGAGATGGGGACTGACAGCACTAGGGGGTGTGAGCCTACATGTACATCCCCCAGTGCGCGCGCACACACACACACCCCTTGAGAGAGAACAGCCAGCCAGGCACAGTGGGAAATGTACAGAAAGAACAAGTAATTCATTTTACCCTCTTGCTCTCATTTCCCTAATTGTCAATTTTTTTCCCTAGACACAGTGTTTAATATGAAGGTTATTCTTTCCTTTACATAGGACCTAAAACTATCTTGACACTTCTTCTTCCTTTTGACGTTTCTTCTTCCTTTTATAGCGTAACTAAGGGGTTCCGTCCTAGTTGTTTTCTTCTCCAAAGGAGACGCTAATGAAATCTTTGGTCTCGCTCCTGGCCGCACAAGTGCGAGAGTCCCCTAGGTCTCCTTCCCTGCCCCGAACCAAACTGTGCTCGTGCCATGAACCCCGCTGGAATTCTGGGACCCCCTTATATAACCGTGGCGTCAAGGAGGCGTTCTCATTGTTAAATCCAAATCACCAAAACTGCTTTTCTGTCCCTCTCGTGTCCACTATCCTTTCCCTCCATGAATTCAGCATTTTTCTGCTAACCGCGATCAGACTGAATTCCAGGGAGTTTTTAAGTCTTATTTTACGTTTTGTTGCTTTCCCTCTCCTTGTTAAATAACGTGTGTGTGTGTGTGTGTGTGTGTGTGTGTGTGTGTGTGTGTGTGTTTAATTTTCTAAGTTCTTTGCTACCAGAAGAGGAAGGGGAAGAGACAGGGCAAGGCGGCAGCTATAAAGATAGGTATTTACGTCCACTATCAAGCATGACCTTCTGCCTGTCATGACCGCCAGTTCTTCCGTCAGCTGCCCTTCTGCGCACTGAGGAAGTGAGAGAAGCTGTTGGGGATTCTCGGTAAAAGGAGATTTAGTAGGGCACAGATGGGCAGAAGACTGGCTCTCTTCATCTGTTTGGGAATCTAGTGGAAGAATCGAGTTTGTTAAAATGTATACGATTTCTAAAGTCCGGTGGGTCAATTCACACTTCGGCTCTCTGTTTTCCAGCACATGGCACTGTTTGTTTGAAAGAGGTGAGAGGAAAATCCTCAAGAAGATACCTCCGAGTGTGGACGCACAGGCAGCCGCAGAAGGCCGGGGGGCCGAGCGACCCCATGTCCGGACTGTGCCCCCTGTCCTGTGACACGGCCTACCCCACCCCCCATCCACCACGTGTCAGAAAAGCCTAGGACCCTTGATTTCAGTGGAGACATGATTAGGGAAGAAACTGCGTCTGCCCCATTTCTTTGTGTTTGAGAGATTAATCCAGGTGTCCATCAAAAGAGAGCTGTAAATATGAACGAACAAAGGTATTTCCTGGAGAAGAGGCTGTTCGTTTGTCACCAACAGGAGACCCCTGTGGGCCCAGCTCCACTGATGTCCCCTCTGCGGAGAGAACCTCCAGTACATTTTTCTTTCGCCTTTAAAAATGCTTCCAAGAGCAGAGCCTGTCCCCACAAAGGTCAAGCCTGCAGAGAAGGCCTTGTAGAAATGAGTCCCGTATGTACACCTGCTACTAGACTCTTCCTCTTTTGGACAAAGGAGATACTAATAGTAACAAAATTCGGGCCTCCCGGCCCGGTGCCCGCAAATGGCTTTTCCACAGACAAACTAGGTTACGGTGGAAGATGCAGGTTAGCGGGCTCTGCCGTTTTAGTTACCTTCCCAGTCTCATTGGCAGCTAGACTTTCTTAGGGTCTTTGGTGGCCCTCTGTGTCATTCTGTTTAACGATGGGGCAGCATTTAGTACCCGGCTCCTCGGTGTCTCAGGCTGCCTACGGAAGAAGTCGCTCGAAATTACCTGCTGTCCACATGGCACAAGGCTCCCTGACCCAGCAAGACCTGCTGTTGGTTTCTTTAATATTTTTATCACAAGGACATGAGAGGAGGCGGGCCTTTAGCCGCAGCCGTTCCAAGGCTTCTAATGTCCTTCTGTCCTGCAGGAATAGATGGGCGGTCATTGGATTTTTACATCAGAGTAATCTGCATTCCCACACACGATGAGCGTTATGAGAACATTCCAAGCTCTCTGTGCTACAAAAAAACCATGCCAGGACCTTCTAGACAAAGCCATTGCCAGAAATGTCATTCCAATGTCTGATGTGCAGAACAGGCCACCATAACCACTTTTCCTTCCGGTAGACTCCGCTCACAGACTGGACTGTTCTTGGCATCTTGAAACACCTATTTCTACTCAGGTACTCATTCTCCTGTTAGTGACCCGCCTTCCTCATCAGTTTAAAAGCCAGTTTTCCTCCAAGGGAGGAACTTTCACTTCGTTTCTGGTATCTGAATAACTTTCAATTTTGGGACTGTTCCCCGTTTGCATTCACCTGTACTGTATTATCTGTTCTCTTAAATGGCATCTAAATACAGCTATTTTCCATTCCAGAAGTTTCCATTCCCTCCACTTCTGCTTAGTTTACCCTCCACTGCCCTGGTTCCTGGCCCTTTTCTCTATGTCCTGTTTTACTTGCTTTGGGAGCTTAAATTTTATAAGATCTAATTTTGGGTTCCTGCATCGGAGCCGTAGTTTTCTCGCAGAGAAGAGTAGAAAATGGGTTCGACTCCTATGTCATTCCACCACCATCTTCTTGAGTCTCATCATCAGCTGAGAGATGATGCCTTACAGGTTGCACAGCACTGGAACTTTATCCTAGAGTAATGGCTCTACTGTCAGGGTGTTTCTGGGCTCATTCTTCCACTGAATTATGATCTATGCTTAACAGAGTCCCAGTACAACTATTTTGCAGAATGGCTATTACCCTAGAATTACTAGAGCACATATCGAGACATAGTTGTACTCCCCAGTAGGTAGAAATTGACCCCAACAATAAACTTTGATAATAAAGACAATGGGCTCTGGTGCTTTTATTTATTATTGACCTGCTAGCACTGTGAAAGGTCACGTTTCAAACTCTTTTAGGTTTTATTCTCCATTCAGTCTGGGGGGTGGGTGTGTGTGTTAACATCCCTGAATTAAAAAAGCGTCTGCTCGTGGGAGGGCAATATAAATGTCGGTGTCTGAAGATAAAGGGAAGAAAACTGATAGCGTAGTTTTAAACTCAATAGCCCAGGGGTGGGGAGTCGCGGGGAGGCCTGGCATAAATAGCTTTTTCCCTCGTTCAGTCGTGTTTCAGGTGTTCTCAGGGACGGGACCCACCAGATCCCATGAGGGAACTCCACAGAGGGCTGTTCACCTCAAGTGAGTGAAGACACGCTAAGCAAGTTGATGAACAGAGAAGAAAACTTAGTTTTCACAAATTTCTTTAAGAACAAAAGCAAGAAGAACCTACCTGCCCTTTCGTGGTGTGCTTTTAGTTAAATTACTCCTGACAATCCTCCATGCCCAGAGACTCGGTTGAGTAAGTAGTGGTCTGCGCTCCAAGAGTAATCCAGGCTCTTTTCCTTTTTCAAACCATCCGAATCTGGTGCTGACCCAGTCTGCTGGGCACGGCATTTAAGTCTGTCCCCTAAAACCAAGCTTCCTTCCCTTTACCCTACATCCTGGAGGCATTTCGGCAGGAGCCAAAAAACGTGAGGGAACACAGGCATTCACCTGATGGGCAAAGAGTGATCCTTGAGAAGTTGATTGTGAGGTCCTACTGGGAATATCCTGATTGTTTGTGGCAGGGCGGGGCGGGGGGGGGGTTGGAAACAGTTTTTGTTGATCACAGTAGAGGGTGACCAAGGCTCTAAGAATGTGTGCTCAGCCAGCACTCTGGGTAGACCGTGAGCATTTTCGACCTGGTGTTACACGTCTGTGTACAAACAAGAATTACTGAAACTCCCGCAGGAAAAATAAGCTTTACTCCGAGTCTGAAATGCTCTGGTTTCTAACCGCTTTTTCCTCATTGAGAGTTGTTCTTCTAAACGCCTGGAAATGAGCAGTCACAACGTCACCCAGCACCCATGGTTCGCGACACTGCTGGGGCTGGAAGTAGCCTTTGGTGGGACAGAGGCGGCGGAGCTTTCAAACCCTAAGCGTCCCTCTACCTTCAACCCCACCTTCCGCTTAGCAGATTAACTCTGAAGGAAAATGGGTGCGGAAAGCAGTTGCATGTGGGCTGGGAACGCGGGGCAGAGGGAGTCCCCTAGTGCCCTCGGCCCCCCCGGAAGGAGCTGATGGTGGAGGCGAAAGCCAGGGTGGCACAGGAGGCGGCAGCTGCCGTGTGGAAGGAAGACATGAGCTTGCACACCTCCTCCTCGTTAAGTCCCCGTATCCAAAGCCACCGCCGTCAGCTAGGCAGCGGCCGAATTCCCCCAAACCTGAAGAATTACCTAAAACTTTAAAGGGGTTTTCAGATGTGTGCCGAGAACTGAAACTAAGCGGTTTATTGATTTTTCTTCTGAGTCTTGGTCTACACATTCCAAAGGGAAAGAAACGACGCCATCTCAAGGTTTGTGGGTTCAAGTCCCGTGTCGGGTTCTGCGCTGACGGTACATAGCCTGCTTGGGATTCTCTCTCTCTCTGCCCCTCCCCTGCTCCTGGCTCTCTCTCAAAATAAATAAATTAAAAAAAAAAAAAAGAAAAAGCAAGCCATGACATACCTAAGTTGGAACCTGGTTTTTAATCTTTCTCATCTGGTACATTCCTCTAAATATCTGCTAAGATGTCCTAAAGCAGGGCTTTTCATACTTCTATGGGAGGCTGTGTTCCTTATGTTTACTTAAAAAAAAATTTTTTTTAATGTTTTATTTCTGAGAGAGAAAGAGAGAGAGAGAGAGACAGCGTAAGCAGTGGAGGGTCAGAGAGAGAGGGAGACACAGAATCTGAAACAGGCTCCAGGCTCTGAGCTGTCAGCACAGAGCCTGACGCGGGGCTCGAACCCACGAACAGTGAGATCATGACCTGAGCCAAAGTCGGACACCCAACCGACTGAGCCCCCAGGTACCCCACCTTATGTTTAATACAGAAAAGGAACGTTTTCTCCCAAAAGGTTTATTTGTCACATTTACAGTACAAAATCAAAGAGATCCAAATATTGAGCCATGTGTACACATCTATACATATATTACTTAGGCCTCCACAACCCATCTGTACATTCTAATATCGTCCCCAACACTCTCGTTAGTAAAACGCGTTACCTCTAAAAAACCAAACTTTATTATTAGTAACACTGCCAGATGTAAATTACGTTCACTTTATCATTTGAAAGGACAGGAACAGACAGTTCATAGGAAGAAGGGAATTTCTACGTGTAAATCCAGTATGTTTACGTGGGCTTCTTACAATATATTCTATAGGAATAACCAACAGGTGAACGAACCTACTCATAAAAGTCTTTGGGCGCATTAACTATAAAAGAAACTTAAGTTCTGAGAAGAAACTTGACAAGGTTAATTACATTCCAGGGTTTTTATTTTGGCTTTTAATGCACAGGAAGGACTTTATTTTGTCTAATAGCACCGCATGTCTAGGTCCTATTTTCTATGGAGCTTGCTTAGGGGCTACCTGAATCTGTTACAAATTAAACTGGTCGCTGAAGGAGGGATCTGGTTTTTAACACTGTGTAGCTTATTTCAACCAAAATGTCAGGGCATGGTTCTTCCGGAGAAAGGCCGAGACGTCAGGCTTGCCGGACACAGAGCATGTGCATCTGTCGCTGACCATACAGGCGTCCCGCTGACCACGGGGACCCCGTTCTAACAGCTTCTCTGTTCTCAGGGGTCATCTACCTCGCATCGGACCGCAGGATGCTAAGACTCAGATGCCTAAAACATCGTCCAGGCCCGGGATTTTATCAGTCTGCACCCCCGAGACCGGAAACACACACAGACATACAGAGATACAGGTCACTGTCAAAGTCAGGTTTGTTATCGGCGGCTTCACAGCAGCAACACAAAATGTACTCAGTGCCACGTTTCCATAGGAAAGGTTATATTTACACTTCACACTTCAGTCTTGAAATGTGGACCCAAAAAACATTCAATTCTCGATGACCAACGCATTTGTGGAGGCTCCCATCCCCTCGAGCGGCCCCGATTTCAGCAGAGCAGAAGCCCCTCCTTGGCTGCGAGGCGCTGGCGGTGGACTCGGTCTTGCTGCAGCTCCTCGTGATTTGGGTGCCAGAGTTTCATGATGACCCTTTCGATGTTGAGAGCGTACACGGTGTGTGTGGGGATGACCTCTCTGTGTACCTGCCGTGAAACGTCAGCACGTCACCAGTTACACTTCAGTCCCTTCGGTTTTCCATCGTACAAAATTAAAAAGCAAGGTTTGTATCAACAAAACACTCACACACACACCTCGAAGCTATAAGCCAGAGCATGATGAAGCTCAAGCTAGGGAACAAGAAAACAGAAATACAAGCTTCTGAAACAGGAGAGGGAAAAAGAGGATTTGTTTTCCTTTTTTTCCCCCCACTGGGGGAGTGGGGGCTGGGAGAGGGAAGTGAGGAGGGAGGCCCGGGCCCCGGACTTGAAAAATGAGCATCGTGCTAATGGCTTTCATAACAAACTATAGGGGCACCTGGTGCGGGGGGGGGGGGCTCAGTCAGCTAAGCGTCCGGCTCCTGATTTCGGCTCAGGTCACGATCTCACAGTTCTGTGGGTTTGAGCCCCATGGTGGGCTCTGTGCTGACAGCACAGAGCCTGCTTGGGATTCTCTCTCTCTCTCTCTCTCTCTCTCTCTCTCTCTGCCCTTCCCCCACTTGCTCGCATGCACTGTCTCTCTCTCTCTCAAAATAAATAAACTTAAAAAAAAAAAAACAATAACTGAAAACCAAAAAGCCAAGAAGAGGAAAAGCTACCGAGGACCTTTCCAAACTGAAAGAAACTCTGAGCCTATCCATACAGTCAGGTAAACCTTAAGGAGCCAGGAGTTTTACCTGTAAAGCTTCAAAAAGGTCATACATGTTGACTGGAGGCAAAGACGCAGGCAGAGTGTCCCCGGAGCATGCCAGCAGGAGTGCGGCCTGCTGCTCGGCGTCATCAGGGGGCGGGTGCGATGCCGGGTTGTGACCCGCACAGGGAGCGGAAAAGGCTGGAGGACTGAAAACAAAGGATTTTCAAAACGCTCCCGATAACTAGGGAATAACTAACGACCAGCTGACGACGAACAATCGGCGACAACCGAACCACTAAAGTACGAGTGGGCTTTGACACGTCTTAGGAAAAATAACTGAAAAGTAATCACCAGCCCAAGTAGAAACCTCGTTTAGCCAGTATATACATGAGGAACCTGTCGTTTCCATATTTCAAGGCAGCCCGTCTGTCAGGCTGGGGACAAAACACAGAGCGACTAAGTTTCCACTCCTCTCTCCACAACGATGAAGTATTCACTGAGCCCGGGATACCGAGCCAACACTGTTCCTGCCCTTGAAATGCTTCCGGTCGGGGGGAAACATTAGGCCTTAATTACAGGAGAATGAAATTGGAAAACGGACTCGGGAGAGGAAAAGAACGTGAGCGGAGGCGACGGGATCGGCAAATGACATGCAAGAAGACACAGCAGCAGCGAGCGACAGGCAAAAACGGGGGATGGAGAAAACCCAAATCTTGCCGACTTCCCAAAACAGGGCCCAGGTATAGTATCGGCGGGGAGTCGGGCGGGCGGAACCCGTGTGTCCTGCCTGCAGCGTCCCGAGGGGCAGCCGGAGGTGACCCGGCTCCAAGAGCACCGCAGAACCGGCCCTGGGCAGGCAATGGGGTCACAGATGCTGCTTCCGGCACCCACCCACTGAAAGGAGCCCCCCACTCTTTCGGTTTCGTTTTTTTCTAGAAAAGAATGACTTACAAATGAGAATAAATACTCCCACACAGATGCGGGACGGAGACTGAGAAAGGGAATCCTCGCATCTGACAATCTAAATACAGACGGTGGGCCTGACGTGACACGGTGCTGGGTGGGGGCGGGGCCGGGCGGTTCAGCACCTGTTCTCGGCCTCAGCTCAGGTCACCATCTCATGGTTTGTGAGTTCAAGCCCCTGCTCAGGCTCTGTGCTGTCAGTGTGGAGCCCGCTGGGGATTCTGTCTCTCTCCCTCCCTCTCTCTCTGCCCCTTCCCTGCTCACACCGCACCCCCCCATAGATAAAGTTAAAAAAAAAATGTCAGCGCTCTTCAAAATGGGCCTTGTAAGCCACCCCAAGTTCTTCGGCCATGACGCAGGCCCTGGTGCAGCCCCTTCCCACGTGGTGCCCACACCCCTGGCCGAGTCCAGCTCTTAGTCAGTTCTCCCACCTCCTCCCTCCCCTTCTCGTTGGCTCGGCACTACCGCCGCTCGCACTTGGGTCCCTGAGCCTGCGCCTTCCTGTCGCCTCCCTGACTGAGCACACACCCAGCGCCCAAAGAAATTCAGTCACTTTGGTTACCACAAAGATCACACCGCTGCCTTTTCTCTCCCAAAGGCTTGAAACAAGGACGGAATTATTTGCAGGGAGAGAAGAAAGAAGGTGGAGGTTCAAAGCAGACAGTGCGTGGATGAGGAGAAGGGAAGCCACGTCGTCTCCTAACGCGGGGGCTGCGGGCGGCAGAAGTCCGGGCGCCCTCCATGGGAGGGGGCGGCGGGCCGCACACGAGCGAGCCGAGGACAACGTGTGCCGCCCGGCAGAGGCCACCCCCTCACGGCGGAGCCACAGACCGACGCCGCTAAGGACCTGGAGCAACACCTCCCGCCCCTGCTCCCACCGTCAAGGCCCCGGCCCGGAGCCACCAGTCACAGGCCACGCTTCACTGAACCAGCAGGCCCGTGCTGCCCCTCAGCAGCCGGCGGATCAGCGATCGCGGCGCCTCAGGGAACCGCTCCGCTGGGACCAGACAGCAGGGGTGGGGCGGGGGTGGGGGGCACTCGCTTCACCGTGTGGGGCAGCCAAACGCTGCACCCTCGCTTCTGATGAACAGTACCAAACGGTTATCACGCAAGGATGCAACTCAAAATAAAACTGCGTGGCTCTCAAAGGCACCTCCGACCTACAGGAACACAATCAGGTGACAGTGGTCACACACACAGCAGGTGCCAACACACGTCTGACCTACAGGAACACAATCAGGTGACAGCGGCCACACACACAGCAGGGAGCCAACTAGAAGGGATGGAGGCAAGATCACAGAAGCCGCACGTACCTTTCTATCAAGCTGCTGTAGGCCACGACACTGTTCCTCAGGTACGGCTGCGGGGTGACATTGCTACCAAAGGCGTATTTAAAATGACCATCACGTAAGCGATAAGCTTTCCTTCTTGACACAACCGATGTCAATATATCTTTGAGGTGATTCTGTGCAAACAGAGAAAAGAAACATAACAGGAGCTCCTGTTGAACAGCAAGTCATAAAACTTCCATTGGCCAAGAAATGTCTCCTAACCTTTAGCGGACGGTGGTGAGACAGGCTCGCAGGCCGTGGAACCAAGGGAAAGTTCGCCAAAAGGCCACAGAAGCACACAGGGTGGGAGGGCACAGCAGAGAGGGAGATGCGCTATTTCTATTTAGTTCTATTTAATAAGAGCTTGCTCTACGTGAAATTTATCAAAGGTATTTCTATTTCTAATTTGACTCCTCTCTTAAAAAGGATTTTCACATGGTTGTAAATAAAAGTACATAATAAACACATAAAATTTTAAAAAGGAGGCAAACTACCTAGAAACCCGGTTTAAAATAAGACAAAAAGTCTCAAGATCTAAGACTTATTGGCCAAAATGTCCCATCTACTAGAATCCTGCCATATAAGAATGATGGCTCTCTCAAAAGCCACATACACAACAGATATATAGGAAATAAACCAAAAATTAAGTATTTGCTATCTCTTTATGACAGCCAAGTAAATAAGAGAGGGACAGAAAGTGTACATGGAAATAAACAGAGCGGGTCCCGGCCCACCATCAGTAAGAGGAGGCAGAAGCAGGCCAGGTGTTTCAACTCTACCAATAAAATGATCTCATATCCAGGCCTTCATGATACAATGTGCAATTTCCACACACAGAATTCATTAGACATTTGTAACTTCGCGACAGTGATTATTCTGAGGCACATGTGAGGAAATGGAGGCCCCAGGTTCTCAAAGAATCACCCAGTATCACCTGACGTATCTGTGTATTATAGAATCTGATGCACATTTTGGCAAATACCCAAATGAATAAAGTGAACGGATCAATGAGTGGGCTGAGACCAGAATCCCACTGTTTAGACACAAGCCTAATGCTCTTTAAATGCTGGGACACGGCAAAAAAGTGATTTTTATCGTTAGGATTCTCAGTCCCACTTTTTTCCCTGAAAAACCGTTCCTTTGTTAACAAATTAAACACTAAATCAAGCAGAAGTACTATACCCTAATTGGCCTTTCTGCAAAGCTTAGTCTGCTAACTAAAGGCAGCTGCATGGACGCTGAGGTGTTTCTCCCCTCAAAATAAAACAATTTTGGGGCGCCTGGGTGATTCAGTCAATTAAGGGTCCTAGTTGTGGTCTCAGCTTAGGTCTTGATCTGAGGGTCAGGAGTTCAAGCCCTGCTTTGGGCTCCACACTGGGCATGAAGCCTACTTAAAAAAATAAAGTAAAATAAAAGAAGAAGAAAGAAAAGAAAAGAAAAAAGAGGGTGAAGAAAGAAAACAATCTCAATGACGACAACTCTGGGACAGGTAAGGTTTGGGTCTCTCCTCGCAGTGTCAGCTTTCAACAGCACGCGCACGCCCGTTACATCTGGCACGCAAGGCTGCTTCCGCCTCCAGCAAACCCACCTCCACCGCACAGACCACAGCAGAGACAGCCTCCTCCGTGACATTGTCCAGCCCGTGCTCGTAGGCAGTCACGATCATCCTCCCTTCGAGCTGACCCCGCGTGGGGAGCACCATGGTGTGGGAACACAGTTTCAAGTCGTCGTCATCTTGCGGATCCTTGGCCACAAACTGCTGGGCTCCCGAGAGGGGGTTTTGAGGCTGGAATCTATGCTATGGGTGAGAACACTTTTCAAAACTGCTCACTACGGGGGCGTGTAGTAAGATGCAAACAAAAGTAACCAAAGTGTCGGGCTTGAGATCCCACAAACGAATGCCACCAAAACAAGACTACAGGCGTTAAGAAAAAAAGAAGTGACTCATGTACAAATAATCGCAGATTCATACCCTTTACACGGTAACAATGAAGACATGAATTAAAGGGAATAATAATAAGAGTATGCACAGTAGTGTATTCTACTCAATTAGTCCCTTAGTGATCAGAGAATATATGGCTCTGTGCTAAAAATAACAATTAGGGGAAAGAAGATCTAAAACCGTTTTCAAACAACTCAGAGCGTTTTTAGAAGACTTCTAGGAGAGGGGCGCCTGGGTGGCTTAGTCGGTTAAGCGTCCGACTTTCGCTTAGGTCATGATCTCGCGGTTCGTGGGTTCGGGCCCCGCGTCGGGCTCTGTGCTAACTGCCAGCTCAGAGCCTGGAGCCTGTTTCAGTCTGTGACTCCCTCTCTCTCTGACCCTCCCCTGCTCAAGCTGTCTCTCTCTCTCTCCTAGAAATAAATAAAACATTAAAAAAAAAAAAAAAAAAAATTTTTAAAAAGAAGACTTCTAGGAGAGCAGGTTGGGAAGGTAGAAATATATATAGTAATACTTCATTCAAGCTCTAACAAGCCTAGCTAACCAGCATAACAGGCGTAAGAATAGACCATCCCAGAGAACGCCAGATATTGTAACTATTTTGCTTTCATCTTCTACTTACAATTCTCAACACAGAATCTTGCTAGACATAGTCATTCTATTTATTTAAAATAGTTTTTCTCAAACTTTTTCCACTCTTGAAGCCCTGCCTCCCCCGGGGACTCGGAGAGCCGTCTGTACTCTCCATCATCAGCGGGAGAGAGGCCCCTCGTAGCTCCCGCTTAATTAAGTCCAACATATGAGATTTGATAGCAAAAAACGGCCTGTCCCTGTTTGAAGTCTGTATTACAAAAGAAACATTGGTTGCTTCTTCCCTTGTCCATGTATAAAACTGTATTCTACATCAAATATCCCTTTTTAAACCAAGGTCTGCCTCTCTGGAGATACTGACCCCTCCATACTGAGTACCATCGGTAGAAAACACAGAGCAAAGGTAGAAATAAATGTTTGTTGATGTTCATCAATAAAGCTATCAACACCTAGTCAAACCTAGAAAAGGAACGCTTTGGGAAACTGTCCCCAAACTGCAAAAGGAATAAGCAATTTATTCTAAAAGGTTTGCAACTTTTATGGCCAAATGCCTTTCTGACTTCTCTGCTGATCCCGAAAGGCTCAGGGCCCAGCTGGGCGTCACCGGGATGCTGCCAGAGGTCCCCAGGCCTCCTGGATGCGCAGAACAGAAGTCTGCAATGCAAGAAACATTCCAGAAAAAGATTTAAGAGGAGAAATAATGTGCAGGCATACTTTTCGAGTCACTAAGACATTGTCAGGTACTAAGGAAAACGTATTAATATTTATGCAGTAACAAACGAGAATTCGAAAACTTCCGACACCTGGGTCTCACACTCTTTGAACCTCTTGTCAACTTCAAACACAGTTACACCTTTCCTCCCCAAATTATGCCCTCCTTTTTTTCTGCTCTCCCACCAGTATTTGAAGGTTTACTTGAAAACTGAAGCCAGTCCCACCGCACCAGCACCTAAGCCAGTTGTTACCAAGATCTACAGAAGAACCACCTACGTCAAATTTCTGGCGAACAGAAGAAAGCTTTTTCTTTCCCTTTGGTTTTCCAGGTTTAGCGGCAGAACCTCCCGTCCAGGGTAAAGATCCAGCGCCCTCTGCGAGACAGAAAAATAATAACCGTGAGAGAAAACAGGCACAGTTGTCAACTGCTAAGCTTGGTTTCATTTTTGGGCTAAAAAAGTATGGGATGCTCAAGTAACGAAAATAATAAATGCTAAAATTCAGGTTTTCTCTATTTCTCTAAGCAAGATTATGAATTCTCTCAAATCACATTTTTTTCTAGCTGTAACCAAAATTATTCCCTTAGGAAGATAAATTTGTTTTTCATATTTTAAATTAATGTCGATTGGGTGTTTGGTTTGCTTTACTAGTAGCATTATGAGTAGTATTACCAAAGTAGGACAGAATTTTCTAGTTCAAGATGCTGAACTGAACATATGAATGTATCTCCCCTCTCCTCCAAGACCCTGCTAACAAAGGGAATGGCAGAAAGTAAACGGCACACATCCACAACAGAGATAAAAAGGAAACTGAGGCAAGAGGAGATCTCAACAAATTTCAACAATGGGCTACAGAGGTGCTAACTTACAAGCAGACACACGGAGGCCATAACCCAGGCGAGGCCAATGAGGGGGAAACACGTTAACCTGCACAGCGGAAATCCACAATGGATCTGGATTTGGAGAAGGTGAGCGGAAGCCAGGGAGGCATCAGTAAAGCTCAACACAACATCAACGGAAGGTCGACATGCAAAAGTCATCTACACAAACCCTACCCCCTCGCCACTAGCAGCGGGCTCAGCATACAACAAAAATGCAGGGTCTCTTGAACAAACATTTAGAATTTCAAGGCAACCACAGCCAAGCACGAAGCCGAGCTCGGGGCCCTTCTGAGTTCAAGGGCAGTTCACAGGCCCCTGCTCTCTCCCCTACACAGAGCGGCATTTACAATGGCAGGGGGCTGATGGGGGGAGAGGACAAGAGAAGGGAGGACTCCCCTCTAGTTAAACTGAACAGAATTTCTGGGATTTACTATGGTGGCTGATACGGATGTGGACACCCTGAAGCATAGCTCTCTGCATGCTGGCATCTGAGGGACCCCCGTTTAGCTGGCCCCCTGCCCGCTCACTCTAAAACAAGGTCCCCACACACTGTGTCCTTCATTCTTAAATACGAATCACCGGACATCTGATGATAATCTGTAACAGAGTAAGAAGGACGCAGATAAACAAGCAGAAAATAGAGGGCTAGATTAAATAATTCAGGCAACACGAAGGACTTCAAGTAATTTCTAACTGGTATCTTCAGAGAAGCCTGAAGAAGACATGTGTCCATAAAAAAAGAAGATAGTATAAAAATTGCTGAACTAAAGAATGCGTTGGGCAGAAAGGCTGAAAGAACTGAGGAAATCGCACAAACACAAACCAGAAGACGGATGTCTAAAATCAGTAAACCCAGGAAGAGATTTAAGCTCCAATGAGGAGCTATCAAAGCCCCACCAGAAGAACAAGACAAAGTAGTTGTCTTTGAGAACAAGGTTAGGAGTGGGAAGAAGCTTTTTTTCCCTGTAAGACCTTCTGTATTATTTCTAACCATGAGCACCTGTATATACAGTTTAGTGGTACAGAAAAACAAGCAAAATAATTCAAGGTCGCTACAGTACACTTGAAAAAACTACCCCGAAAAGTTTTTATACAAAAAAAAACAAAAAACAAACAAAAAACAAACAAAAAAAACCCATCACCTAAGCAAAACATTAATTATTTCCATTTTGATGTTTTTTTGAAGAATGAGTTTTTAAAGCTGTGGAAAAAAAAATACTCCAAGGTCATCAGTTAAAAAAGAGCTGTTTGGACACCAATCACAATGAGCACTGAGTAACGTACCGAATTGCTGAATCACTATATCGTACCCCTGAAACGGAACACTGTATGTTAACTACACTGGAATTACAACAAAACAAAACAAAACAAAACAACCAGTTAGGGAAGTCAAGCTCTTCCTGTCCACCACGTTGAATGTCTTTGGTACACCCAGCTCGGACTGATGAGGCCAGCCAATCTTAGCGGATGCTGGGAGATGCCACCGAGGGGGGGGCCACACGTTCCAGGCATGGAGGCCAAGCGTGGTGAGTCAGCCTGACCGACCACAAGGACGGCTTTCCAAGGCAGGCAGATTCAGGTGTGGGTCCAACGCTTCCACGGACTAGCTGGATAAGGTCTCGGGTAAGTGGGGATTTTCTTTCATTTTGTTTTCTCTTCTCTAACATTTGTCTGCTACTCTATAAAGAGGCTAGTGCCTGCCCTGAAGAGTTGCTGTGAAAAGAATGCAAAGTGCCTGCTGTACTGCAGTCACTCAATAAATAATATCAAAAATCACCTTTGCCGCCTAGCTCAGGAAAACGGAAAGCCCGCCCCCAAGTATTGTAAGGACAAAGAACTACATTTCTATATTTTACGTTTGATAGAAATCATCGCTTTGTTGCCAGCAACTACTAATTTCATTTTGAGGAAATGTATTTTGGATGTTTGATAGAGAAATGGTCTCTCAAATTCCAAATGTTTCTTCATTTATTTAACAATAAGCAATAACAAACATTCATGAATATCAAGGGCTTTATTTAGTTAAAATCAGCCACTTACATTTACTAATGCCACTTCATTTTTGTTTGGCATTTTTTACTTTAAAGAGCACTTTTTTTACATGTTCTTTCATCCGCTTTTTTATACGTATCTGTAGGGCAGATATTACCGTATTTTATAAATGTGAAAGCTAAGAACACCCAATAATTAACTACAGTACCTAAGCTAGTGGCAAAACCTAAACTTGAACCAAAGTCTCTTGACCTTATCAGGGTTTTTACAACCAATGGTCCCACTTACCTTTGCACACAGAGCACTTGAGAATATACCTACGTGAAAAGCAAGATCTAGTCCTCACAATGTTGGCTGTTCTGATCAAATTAAATTATATACAAAAAAGTGGGCCCTCTTTACCATCTCACTAGTTGAAGTCCACTTCTATCTAAAGAAAACAGAACATCAGAAATCTGACACACGTGCACGTATGACAACGTGCGGTTAGGGGCAGCGCGGGGTTTGGGAAGCGGCGCCTATAAACTCCACAACACCGATGACAACTTCTCTGCATGAGGAGGACCTGGGCTTTAGGAGACTATATCTGGATTCTTTACCATACAGTAGAGGCTAGCAGAAGGAATGACAGAAAGTATGAGCTATTTCTACATAAAGATGGGTTTTTCACAACAGATGAACATAGGGGAAGGGAAGGAAAAAAAAGATAAAAACAGAGAGGAAGGCAAACCATAAATACAGAGAAAATATATTTTAAAATACAGAGAACAAACTGAGGTTTGCTGGAGGGGGGTGAGTGGAGGGATGGGCGAGGTGGGTGGTGGGCATGAAGCAGGGCCCTTGTTGGGATGAGCACTGGTGTCCTATGTTAAGAGATGAATCACTGGGTTCTACTCCTGAAGCCAACACTACACTGTATGTCAACTAGGTTGAACTTAGGAAGGAAGGAAGGGAGGGAGGGAGGTTTTTAATCAGTGATCGTCACAATGACCACAGGCCCTTTAAAAACAAGAACAAAAAGGGGCGCCTGGGTGGCTTAGTCGGTTAAGCGTCCGACTTTCGCTTGGGTCATGATCTCGCGGTTCGTGGGTTCAAGCCCCGCGTCGGGCTCTGTGCTGACTGCCAGCTCAGAGCCTGGAGCCTGTGTCAGTCTGTGACTCCCTCTCTCTCTGACCCTCCCCTGCTCATGCTGTCTCTCTCTCTCCTAGAAATAAATAAAAATATTAAAAAAAAAAAAAAAAAACAAGAACAAAAAAATTCAACTTGATAGTAGGAGGTACCTATAAATCTAAGTTTTTAACAACAGCTCAGGATCAGTTTTATTGTGAGGCCAACTGTTAATGTATTTAATCCCTGATTTTTGACTACTTGATTAAAATAAGATGGATGAAAGAAGTGACCTGTACCGCTTAAACGCCAAACAATTTGGGGTAAAGGGGTCACGGCTTCTCTTTACACCTCTTTAGGCTGACGTGACGGCCTGAGCTGCCCCCCCCCACCCCCCACCATGCCGAAGCTCCAACCTCCCGCCAATTAGCGTCTTACCTGAGAAAACAAGTGAAAGTCCAGGTTCTCACCATATGCCGTGGTTTCCCCTCCACCTAACCCCACCTCCCCTTCCCTATATTTCTGGAACCCCCTGTCTGATTCCAGCTGCCCTTGAGCGTCTTCACCCTGACTGCCCACCCTCTTGCTCACTTGTCAGTCATAAGTAATCTAGACTCCAGCTGAGCGGACAGGAAAGCCCAAAAGTCAACGAAAGCACAGGCGGAGCGCCTGCTTTACACAGCTTCACCAAACAGTCTGCACCGACATAATCAATTTTTTCCTGTGAGCAGTTCAAAGAACATTGCGTTTGCAAACAACGGATGGGGCTGGTAACGGCAGCAAAGCCTAGCGCTCCGCTGGCTCTGCTGACTGGCATCAAGTGCTTCCGCTCCCTTACCTGGTGTAGACACCAGAATCTGACAGCGCGTAAGAATAGCCAGGAGGAAGTCGTTGTGGGAATGGACTGAAAAAGGGAAGATGGTCACAAGTCAAACAAAATATTTACAACCTACGGAAACCATTATTTGACTCTGGATGTCCCCTACCCTGCCATTCTTTATACTTTATTTTAAATATCCATCTTATTATAGCAATCTTACACACCATTAAAAACTCCATTTTATTTTTTTAAGTGAAAAGACTTACTGCAAAATTTATTGCAATTTATTATGGCGATTATTGATCTGCGATTTATCGCAAATCTGGGAAAACTTCAAAACAGTAAAATAACTCCCCCAGATAATTATTTTACCATTATCCTGCGTGAGAAGTCTATGAGCTTCAAGGTCAAACTCTTCTTTGCTGATCTTCTGCTTGAACCACAACTTCAAGTTAGCCCAGTATCTGCAGAGGCAGAAGCAGTATTAAGAACCAAGGGTTTTGCTTCCTTCCCAAGTTCACCGTACCTGCCCCAAACCCCAGGGAAGGAAACCTGGCATTCCCTACTACACGGGCAGTTATGATCTCCCCCCAAACTCGTATGTTGAAGGCCTAGACCCCCAGCACCCAGAATGGTAAAGAGGTGATTAAATTAAAATGACCTCTTCAGGGTGGGCCCTAAGCCAATGTGATGGGTGCCCGAGCAAGAAGAACTGCAACACACACACACAAACGCGCGCGCGCCCACACACACACACACACAACAGTAGCCATCTATAAGCCAGAGGGAGAGGCCTCAGAACAACCCTGCTGAAGGGTATTGTCAGACTTCCTTGATGCTGGACTTCCAGCATCCAGAACTATGAGAAAACGTATTTCTATTGTTTAATCTACCCCATCTGCGGTATTCTGTTACCACAGCCCTTGAAAACTAATACACCTAGGAATCCGAACACTGACAGAGGCTGCCTGGCTCGGTCGGTAAAGCCTGTGACTCTTGATCTCAGGGCTGTGAGTTCAAGGCCCCTGTTGGGCATGGAGCCTACTTAATAAGAAAAAAAGGGGGGAAAAAAGAATACCAACAGAACTAAAAGGAAGAAAAGCTTTTCCCCAAAAGGGACTGACAGGTTGTCACATAATTGGACTCACGAGTCAAGTAGCCAAAACCACAGCTGTACCTTTCCTTCCTCACTGTTGCCTTTCCAAATGACCTATCCTCTAGAATCTTACATTTAATATTCACATTTTAGAAGTATTATAATTAAAAGTATTAACTTGTAAGCATTAATTTCAAATACACTAATTTTCCAATTATCAACTTCAGCTAGTAACACTGTATTGTATATGTGGAAGTTGATAAGACTAGATCCTAAAAGTTCTCCTAAGAAAATATAGTTCTCATAAGAATTTTTATCTATCGTGACAGATGTTAACTAGATTTACGGTGATGATCAGTTTGCAATATATACATGTACTGAGTCACTGGTGCATACCTGAAACCAATATAGTGTTATATGTCAATCACACCCCAATAAAAACAAGATTTAGATTTTAAAAGGTTGTGTGTGTTTTATGGGTTGGGAAGTGGTCACTAATACTGATCCTGATAAGCTCTTTCCTTTCAGGCGAACTCAAGTTTTAATCTAACTAACTGGCTGAAATAATGAGTTTCTAAAATACCTCACCTCAATGAAAATACTGTGCATACGAGAAACATAGTGGTTTTTAAAGTGAAAACCAACCACTAGTCATAAAAATCACTAGTTAACTGGCAGGAAAAAAAAATAATGACTTGATCCCTTATACCTTAACAACAGTATTAGAAATAGGAGTAAAATATGACTTTTCACATCGACAGCCCTTGATTCAGTGCTTAAGGAAGCTGCTTTTTGTTCACGGAACAATTAAAAGTTACTCAGTACCTGTCTAACAATCACTTTCAATTCACACTCAGCTACTTTCTAATGCTAATTTAAGTTCCTGAGGAGGGGAAAAAAAGATTTCTAAAGGAGATGGTCTAATGCTCTCACTGCCTTATTATACCCACTCAGGTCTCTGCTGCACACAGATTAGCTTCAGGTCATCCTAGTACGCACTTCTGTACGCAGCTGGCTGTGTGTGCGTGCAGCTGGCTGTGTGTGCGTGGAACTGCATGCAAAGCTTTGGGTTCGCATGCATTTCTTCCCCCAGGAGAAAACCTATAGCTTTAATGGGGTCAAAGTTGCCCAAGACCCATTTCACTCAACAGCAAAAGATGTTTAGTTCTAGAGCGTGGCATTTTCACCTGATATTCACACACTCACCTAGTCAATAATAACTTGCCAGCAACTTCCCAACAATGGATACTTAAATGCTTTTTTTTTTCTTTAAGGACAGGAACTATTATGAAATGAAATAAGGCTCCACAGGAAAAATGTATTTTCCCCTCCCATTCTATGCAACAGAAGATAGTAACATGAGACAGTTCATTATCTGAGAGCCCTGTGCCGCTATTTTACAAGTAGGATGCAAATACCTCCCTACTTTGAGTGTGAACTTATTCCAGAAGTAAAACAAGGCTCTACCAGGAAGTTCCGCCAACATGATGCTACCCATCTCCTCCAATGGCAAACTTTCCAGCCCAAGGAGCCAGGACCCTTTCCAAGATCTGGAAGACCTGCTCCCCAATCCTGGTGCCCGTGTTAACTCGCCACAGGACAAACGTCTGTTTTCCTCAAGAGTACTGAAAACTCTGTGAAGGTGAGGATGACAGGTGGCAAGTTTAAGTGGGTCAGACTAGGAAGCACTGGAGATACATGCAGAAAACTAAATCACACATGATCAAGTCACCAAAAACTCCAACACCTATTTCAACAGGACACTCTCTTGGGTACTATGCAAAGTTCCCTAGCAAAGGCCATGTCTTTCTAGAAGCTGCTGTGGGCATGCAACTTAACATAAAAGCCCTTTGGACCCTAGACAAATTGAACACAACTCTTATCTGGGGTCCTTATGCACTTTCTCTGTGTTGCCTCCCACCAAGGACCACGTCTAATTGGTCAGGTTATATATAAACCAAAGCAAACTACTCATGGAAGAAATACGAGAAATTACTGGAGAGCAACATTACAGAGTATTAAACCAAGAGGCGCTTTTTAAGGAGCAGGAGAAAAAGATAATGACAGAATGGAAAACAAAGGCAGACAGACCAACAGTGCACCACTAACTATTCATGGCGCAAAAGCGTATCTTGATCACGTGTTAGTGAAGATTCACACTACAGGTGCATCCAATTGAGCTTTGCTGTGTGTATTTGACCAACATGTGAGAGCCAGCATGGGCCTTTAAAGACCAAATAAGGGAATACTGACTTCAAATTCCGGGCAGACCCGCGTTGTAACTGTGGGGTCGTGGAAGCCACCATCACACCTCGTCAGTACCTTACACACACAAGCCAGTCTTTCAGATTTGTTGCAGCATGGAAACACTTTCAGATATCTTGCAAGCACCCTAGATGTAACAGAACGAAAGTCAACTGTGCTTGAAAATGTAAATGTCAGCAGTCACGATTACAAAAGTAACACTCTGTAGTCAATAAATGGTGAAAAACGTTAATTTTACCTATTAAAATAACTAATAATTTTCAATTAATTAAGCAAAGAAACTGACTGACAGTAAACGTGACTATTAAGACCTAACTTTAGGGGCGCCTGGGTGGCTTAGTCGGTTAAGCGTCCGACTTAAGCTAAGGTCATGATCTCGCGGTTCGTGGGTTCGAGCCCCGCGTCGGGCTCTGTGCTGACTGTCAGCTCAGAGCCTGGAGCCTGTTTCAGTCTGTGACTCCCTCTCTCTCTGACCCTCCCCTGCTCACGCTGTCTCTGTCTCTCTCTCCTAGAAATAAATAAAACATTAAAAAAAAATTAAAAAAAAAAAAGACCTAACTTTAGGTGGGGGCGCCTGGGGGGGCTCAGCAGTTAAGCGTCCGACTTCGGCTCAGGTCATGATCCCACGGTTCGTGGGTTCCAGCACCGCGTCGGGCTCTGTGCTGACGGCTCAGAGCCTGGAGCCTGCTTCCGATTCTGAATTCTGTGTTTCCCTCTCTCTCTGCCCCTCCCCTGTTCACACGCTGTCTCTCTCTCTTGCTCGCTCTCAAAAATAAATTAACATTAAAAAATATTTAAAAACCCATAATTTTAAGTAGAACACTTTATCTTTGGGAACCAAAAAGTGTTCACAAAAAATTAGGGGCACCTGGGTGGCTCAGTTGGTTGAGCAACCGACTTCAGCTCAGGTCATGATCTCACAGTTTGTGAGTTCGAGCCCCGCATCAGGCTCTGTACTGATAGCCTGGAGCCTGCTTCCGATTCTGTGCCTCTCTCTCTCTGCTCCACCTCTGCTTGTACTCTGTCTCTCAAAAAATGAATAAACATTTTAAAAAAATTAAATAATTATGCCAAATAATTTTAATACTAGCATTTGTAGAAGTTTGATTTACTAATGTTCATAAAATAACCTTTAAGAATTATATTTTGTTTTCACTTATTCTGTGTAGGCCATGACTGTTTCAAGAAGTCTTACATAGGAATTCTGCCTATCTTGCTAGGATTAAAACGCAGAATGTCGGGGCTCCCGGGTGGCTCAGTCGGTTAAGCGTCCGGCTTCGGTTCAGGTCAGATCTCATGGTTCGGTTCATCCGTTCGAGGCCCGCATCAGGCTCTGTGCTGATGGCTCAGAGCCTGGAGCCCGTTTTGGATTCTGTGTTTCCCTCTCTCTCTGCCCCTCCCCCACTCATGCTCTGACTCTCTCTGTGTGTCTCAAAAATAAACTATATAAAAATTAAAAAAAAAAAAAAGCAGAATGTCAACTCCACAAGAAGGAAAAAATCCAAAACTCACGGACGATCCAAGTAACTTCAATCTAGTCATACTAAAGAATATAAAGAAAAAGATGACAAGGAAGTGTCCCCCAAATACTAGGTTTCTCCAGCAGCATGATCTTTAAATGAGCACCTACTGGGTAAGCAAACGTGTGGAATATCACAGAAGCCATATAACAGCGACAACACAGGCTTTATGATCTTAAACACTTAAAATTTGCAGCTTATATTTTTGGAAAATAAAATTATAATGATCAATGTTCTGAACTTTTCCGACTCGTTCTTATATATCAGAGACTATCTGGCTTCGGCTTTGGCTGAATTCCGATTTTGCATCCCGCCATTCGGCGTCGGGCCTGAAGGTTTACTCGGCCCCGGGCTGTAACCTGGCTGCGCGCACATCCCCCGGAACCAGGCGCTAGGGGCGGTGGCTCTCTAGATCTCAGTGCTCTCATCTATCGAGTGGGAATAACCGTACCGACCTCAGCTCCCTGATGTGAGGACGAGGAGAAACAGCACAGAGTGCTACACAGGCGTCCAATTAAGGTCTGCCACCGCGATCATCCCTACAACGGAGGGTCTGTGCGCCTTCCGAAAGTGCTCTCTATGCTCTTAAACGCCTCGCCCGGCCTCAATAAACTTCCGCCTCCAGGAAGCCCTCCAGGGTCGCGTCCCCGCGCGCCGAGCCCACGGCAGCCGGGGCGCGTCGGGCTCCGGGCCGCTCGGCCCGGGCAGGCCTCGGGCGCCCCGAGCTCTGACAGGGGCCTGCAACCATTCCGGAGGCCCTCGGGCGCCGAACGCGCCCCGCCCGCCCCTCCCCGGCCAGAGAGCCCCGGGCCTGGGCGCCCGCCCGAGGCCAGCGAGCCGGGGACGCGCGTCCCCCCAGCGGGGCGGGTCCGGGCTCCGCACCCGGCGCCCGCCCGGGAGACCGGAGGCCCCGCCGCCCGCGACGCGAGGCAGCACAGGCCTCGGAGCGGCGGGAGGCGCCGCCGGGGTGGGGCGGCGGCCCGGAGCCGGAGGAGCAGCGGCGCCGAGCCCCGGACGCGGCGCCGGGACGGCTCTTACTGCTTCACGTTGTCCCCGAGGGCCTCGCTCAAGTTCTTCTTGGCCGCCTCCAGCTCGCTCACAAAGGTCGCCATTACTCCCCGCGTCTCAGCCCGACCGCGGCCGGCTCTGCCACAGGCTGCCGCAACCGAAAAACCAATCCGGGGAGAGCTCCGGCGCAGAAGGCTCGGCCCGCCCCCGTCCGGCCCGCCCCCAATCGCACGGAAGAAGTTTGTTTGGTTTTCGGCTCCGCCCGCCCGTCTGAAGGGAAAGTGAGGAGGCAGATTCGCTGCTTTCTCAGTTCCCCGCCTCCCGCCCCCTCGAGTCACGTGATCCGGGTGGCCCGCCCCGCCCCCCTCCCCTCGGGGCCGCCCCGCCCCCCTCCCCTCGGGGCCCGCTGGGCCGGCGGCTGCACCTGCCGAGGTCTTGCCGCGCGGTACCTCCGTTTGTTTCCGGCGGGACAATGTAAAAAGAGTTTTTTTAGTGTTTATGCATTTTTGAGAGACGGAGACAGAGAGCGAGCAGGGCAGGGGCAGAGAGAGGGGGAGACACAGTCCGAAGCAGCTCCAGGCTCCCAGCTGTCAGCGCAGGGCTGCCGAGCTGAGCCCCTCGGACGCTGAACCCCGAGTCGCCCGGCGCCGCTGCGCAGGTTCTGAATTGGGCCCTTCGTCCTCCCCCCGGGATGGGTTTCTTCCTCCGTGGGCCTAAAAGCAAACGCAGTGTCCGTTTTGTTCTCTTTCTTCGCCTTATTTTTCGCCAAGCGCTAATCATTTAATAGGCCACTTAATTGTTCTTGTTCATTTTCTGCCTCCTCCAGCTACAGTGTGAGTTCCACGTGCACAGGATCTGTTTTATTCGGTGCTGTTTTCCCCAGTGCCTAGAGCAGTACCTGGCCCATAGTAGGCGCTCAGTAAATATTTGCTGAGTAAAGTAAGTAATTGTGAAAAATGAGAAAAATAAACACAAAAGTATGATAGAGAAAAAAGAAAGGAAAAGTGCTACTTCCGGACAAAGTTATCTGATAGAGATTCCTCTCCCCATAATTTATAATCATGGTCTGTTTTCTTTTTTTTAATTTTTTTAAATGTTTTATTTATTTCTAGGAGAGAGAGAGAGACAGCGTGAGCAGGGGAGGGTCAGAGAGAGAGGGAGTCACAGACTGAAACAGGCTCCAGGCTCCGAGCTGGCAGTCAGCACAGAGCCCGACGCGGGGCCCGAACCCACGAACCGCGAGATCATGACCTAAGCGAACGTCAGAAAGTCGGACGCTTAACGGACTAAGCCACCCAGGCGCCCCAATCATGGTCTGTTTTCAACTGTGCATCTTGGTGGGGAAGGGGAGGGGGTTAAGTTTAATATAATTACATAAATTTTATCCTCTGGTATTATAGTGTCTTTATAATCATAATTTTAATGACCGCTTATTAAACACCCCACAAATAGAATGTACACAATAACTTGCTTCCCGTTAGCCTGATTGTTTCCATTTTTTTCTCTATTAAAAGAAATAATGTAATAAACTTTATGCATAAAGCTTTTCTTCATTTAGGATTACTACTTTAGAATAGAGTCCCATGAATAGACTTATTAGTTTAAATGGTAGGGATATTTATAAGAGTCTTGGTGTATATTGTCAAATTGCCTCGCAAAGACTGAAAACAATCCTCATTGCTTTTAAATCTTGTGTAATTTCCCTGTGGAGGCCCCTTCAACTTGAACTCGTTTGTTCAGCAAATACTATTATGTACCTGGAACTCTTTTGTGTTCTGGGTTTACAAAGATGAACCTGGCAGGTAAAGTCTTACTGTCTGTGTCATTAAACTACAGAGAAATTTTGACTTTTTAAAAAGTAGTTATGGGGCGCCTGGGTGGCTTAGTTGGTTAAGCGTCCGACTTTCGCTTGGGTCATGATCTCGCGGTTCGTGAGTTCGAGCCCCGCGTCGGGCTCTGTGCTGACTGCCAGCTCAGAGCCTGGAGCCTATTTCAGAGTCTGTGTCTCCCTCTCTCTCTCTTACCCTCCCCTGCTCACGCTGTCTCTCTCTCTCTCTCCTAGAAATAAATAAAAATATTTTTTAAAAAAGTAGTTATCCACTTCCACTTTTTCTTGAGTCCCCACTGTAGAAAGCCAGCCTCAGTTAGGTTAGTAAATGCTTTTATTCATGGTGTTACTGAGGATTATAGCCCAGGAAATATTCTTCCCAATTGCCCTGAAGAACTGCTTAAAAGCTTGTTATATATTATATATATTTATAGATTATATCTAGAAAATTATTATATATACAAAAGAGGAAACAGGCATATGTCCTTGCAAGCAGCTCAAATACTTGTGCATCACGAGGTATAATTTGTTGTAGTTCTAAAAATGAAGATTTACTGATTTCCACACAGACGTGAGAAAGATCCTAAGGTCATCTTAATATATGTTTCTATCGTATCTGATTGTTTAAAAATATTGCTTGCATGCCTCTGCTTACCCCCTTTTCTGGTTCTTCCTATTTTTGATTTCTCCTTGAGAAGGTCACAGAAGGCTGACCTCCGTCACCTATTGCAGCTTGAGCGCAGACCACTGAGTATTCAACGCCCTCCCCTGGCATTCGCATTTCCTTACGACCCAGACTCTGCCTATCTGTGCAAACCACGTACATCCTGGCCTGCCTCCACTACCCCTTAGGATACACTTTGCATTCTAGTTACTCGACTTTCTGTTGTTGTTGTTGTTGTTGTTTTTTAACATTTATTCATTTTTGAGAGAGAGAGACAGAGTGCAAGTAGGGGAGGGGCAGATAGAAAGGGAGACACAGAATCCCAAGCAGGTTCCAGGCTCCGAGCTGTCAGCACAGAGCCCGACGCGGGGCTCAAACCCACAAACTTCGAGATCATGACTTGAGCCGAAGTCGGATGCTTTACCGACTGAGCCACCCAGGTGCCCCACTGACTTTCTATAACAAACCATATCACTCAGCCCCTTTACGTATCTCTCCCTCTGCTGGTTTTGACAACCGTGGGTGGCTACCTACATTTTTTTGCAAACAGACTCAAACATATATAAGTACCTGTCAAAGGGCCAATTCAACAGCAATAGAAAAGAGCACAAGGAAATGTTTAGGTACATCGTCCAGAAACAGTCCCTGTTTCTCATCTCTGTCGCCACCTATCCCCTAAGAAAAATATAACTTCTATGTCTTCACATCGGTACTTGTTAACACCCATAACTGTATGCATCTAGTCCTTTCTCTCTCGTCACTATACACACCTATAAGCATCAATTTCAGTATAATGATTCTGTTAAATGTCCATGTAAACTACAGTGTCAGACAATATAACATACACAGAAATCTGACCAAACAATATACTTAATAGAAAGAAATATGAAAACCACTTGTAATTTGGTGGTTTACTTTATTTTTTTTTTTAAGATTTTTTATTTATTTCTAGGAGAGAGAGAGAGCGACAGCGTGAGCAGGGGAGGGTCAGAGAGAGAGGGAGTCACAGACTGAAACAGGCTCCAGGCTCTGAGCTGGCAGTCAGCACAGAGCCCGACGCGGGGCTCGAACCCACGAACCGCGAGATCATGACCTAAGCGAAAGTCGGACGCCCAACCGACTAAGCCACCCAGGCGCCCCCTGGTGGTTTACTTTAAAGCACTAATTCTAAATCTCTGTTTAGTGATAGCAATAGTTACACAATGCCTATAACATGCAGATAACTATGAAGAGGCTTTTCAGAGAATGTAAGTGAAAGTTGTTCACGAAGTGTAAAGAATTCTACAAATGTTAGTTTAATCTATTTTTTAAAAATCTATTTTTTGGACTATCCTTTAGCAATTTTCTCTTCCCCAACAGCAGGCTAGCTTTAAAGTAGCTAGTAAAGTTAACTCAATAGGATATTGGGAACAGAAAATATCAAATAAGAATTTCCACTATTTCCATGATCCATATCTTCTTTCCATTTAATTCAGATGAACAGTTAAAGGTTGATAGTATTATTTATATATCACCTGTTTTTATGCCACTTCCTTCAACATATAATTATATAAATCACAAATATATGATTATATAAATGTCATTGTATACCAATATAATACAAAGGAAAGCCCTGAAAAAAGTTTATTTTCATACCAGTTTTTTTTTATTTAAAAAATTTTTAATGTTTATTTATTTTTGAGAGACAGAGAGACAGAGCATGAGCAGGGAGAGAGGGAGACACAGAATCTGAAGCAGGCTCCAGGCTCCAAGCTGTCAACACAGAGCCCAATGCGGGGCTCAAACTCACAGACTGCGAGATCATGAAGCTCGATGGCGAGGTTATGAGTCGCTCAAACGACTGAGCTACCCAGGCGCCCCTCATACCAATTTTATTTAGGTATCTATGAAAGTTTGGCCTCTGCTTGCTTAATTCTTCCAAAAGCACTGGATTTTTGGCAATAGGATTTGATGTTGATGGAGTTGTGACATGTCTCATTTCTGAAGATTATGTTAGTATTGTTCTTCTTCCTCCCAGGTACCATATTTAGGATTTTTGGACCTATTTATAAACTACTTTGGGGCGCCTGGGTGGCTTAGTCGGTTGAGCGTCCAACTTTCGCTTAGGTCATGATCTCGCGGTTCGTGGGTTCGAGCCCCGCGTCGGGCTCTGTGCTGACTGCCAGCTCAGAGCCTGGAGCCTGTTTCGGAGTCCGTGTCTCCCTCTCTCTCTGACCCTTCCCTGCCCGCGCTGTCTCTCTCTCTCTCTCTCTCCTAGAAATAAATAAAAATATAAAAAAATAAATAAATAAATAAACCACTGACTCGTTCTTTACACTGGCTGGTGTCTACCACAGAAGAAATACTTGTTGATTGAGTTTCTTACTCCACTCATTAACACTGGCTCCTTAGCCTTCTTCCCAGAGCACTGCCAGCAAATGTGTGAGGTCTTCCATTTCAGAGCTGTGGCTCTGCTTTACTGGAAGGACTCTTACAGTTCAGGTTTAAAATATTACTGATAGTATTTTTAGTTGCCTGGTTGAATTTACCATTATAACATTCACTATAATATGTAATACTATGTGGTATATGCATTTATGTACAGTTATACATGATGGTACATAGTGGCTCACACTCAAAATATGTCAGAATAAAATATTCTAGAAAATTCTATATACTATTCTTCCTAGTCTCT